AAATGAGGTAAAAAAAGTGAAAAACGGATTTATATACACCGCGGATAACACGCCCTATCGTGGGCGTGTCTCTCTCCTGGAACACGCCTTTCCTTTGTCGTGTTTGCTTCATAGCTCACGCCCTATCCTAGGCGTGTCTCTCTTGCCACACACGCCCTACCTTGGGCGTGTTTATTTCACAAGCTCACGCCCCACATGGGCGTGTCTCTCTCCATCAGAACACGCCCCTTCTGGGCGTGTTTGGGTGCTATAGATTCGTAATTTTTTGCAAAACGACAACTTATTCGTAATTTTTTATTAAAAAAGTAATAAATTAATTTTTTTGCCCTTTACCAACTATCAGCATAAGTTGGAAAACCAAATTTTTATTTTTATTTTTGATAAATTGGCAAACCAAATTTTAAGTGTGTGTAACAAGGGATTAAATGGTGGAACATATGTGTGAATTGAGAGGTCCATGTTGAATAAGAACACGATATACTTAAATATTTGGACGGTATTGGTTAGGATAGAAGTACAAATTAATTATTGAGGGTTAAAAAAATTTAAAAATTGATAGAAGTTCATATGTAAAAGCACGTATCTTATTTTTTGGAGTATCGAATTGTTTTTATTTTATTTTTTTTGTTTTGCTCAAATTAAATTCGTCCTGATTATTGATCTAATCAATGTGCTATATCACTGGTTCAACCATGGGTCACTGGTTCAATCGTATGACCCGATAAATATATGCATATCTATAATTTATATTTAAATATTATAAATATACTTAAATGTCTATAAAAAAATTGATATTAATTTCAAATATTCTAATATGAAAAATAACCAATTACACATCATTGTCCAACGAAAAATCAATCAAACATATTATGCTTATGATACTGATATTTTAAGTTCAGTAGATGACGTATGTAGTTATAAATCAAATCAAAATTACATGTCCGTGTTGTTTTAAGTTCCACGCCATTTGTAAGTAATATTCTTAGTAATTACATTTTGTTATAACATAAAAGTTTTAAAAGTTACTGTATATTATTTATTTATCATTTTTTTTGTAGACATTTATTTGTCATATATATACCTCTATTTGTTTTTTTTTTAGTACTATTATGTGAATTTTACATATGTTAAAGTAATTTGATGTGAAAATAGGACCAAAATGATTAGCGCAAACCCTATCAAGACGTTCCTGATGTAGTCTTCTCTTTTGGTCCATACAAGTCGCCTGGGAAGGATGGGCTTAATGCTCTTTTCTTTCAATCTCAGTGGGATAAGGTGGGTGAGTCAGTTATCTCTTTTGTGAAAGGTGTGTTCCTTCATCCGGATAATATCAAAGAGGTTAACCAAACTTTGATTTGTATGATTCCTAAGATTGATGTGCCTGAATTACTTAAAGATTTCAGACCTATTAGCCTTTGTAATGTTATTTACAAGACTGTAACTAAGATTGTGGCTAATAGGCTGAAATTTCATATGGCTCACTTGGTTATGCCTAATCAATGTGGTTTTATTAAGGGTAGACAAGGAGCGAATAATATCATTGTGGCTCAGGAAATCATCCATTCCATGAATAAAAAGAGAGGAGGTAAGGGTTGGATGACTGTCAAAGTTGATTTAGAAAAGGCTTATGACAAGATTTCTTGGGAGTTTCTGAAAGACACGCTTGTGGATGTTGGTTTGCCTGAGAATATTATTTCTCTGATCATATGTTGTGTCTCGTCATGTACAATGAATTTGTTATGGAATGGATCAACTACGACAGAATTTTCTCCTAATCAAGGTCTTCGTCAGGGAGATCCTTTGTCTCCTTATCTTTTCATCCTTTGCATGGAAAGACTTACTCATTTGATTAATGTAGCAGTTCAAGAGGACGTTTGGAAGCCTATCAGATTGAATAGAAGGGGACCACTGCTTTCCCATCTATTTTTTGCAGATGATCTTCTTCTCTTTACAGAAGCCACAGAAGGGAAAGCTGTTATTATTAATAAGATTCTTGATTGTTTTTGCAGGTGCTCTGGTGAGAAGGTTAGCAAGGAAAAAACAAAAGTCTTCTTCTCCAGAAACGTTAATCATACCCGAGTGCAGAATCTAAGCCAGTTGATGGGCTACTCTCCTACAAATGACTTGGGTAAATACTTGGGTATTCCTCTTCGTCATAGCCGTGTTACAAAGAGTACGTTTGGCTATATCTTAAATCGGATGCAAGCTCGTTTAAATGCCTGGAATCAACGTACTCTTTCATTGGCAGGAAGATCAACTTTGGCTAGGTCAGTTCTTACTGCAATTCCTCAATATCCTATGCAAACTTGTATTATTCCTAGTGGTACGTGTGATCGTATTGAGAGTGTAACTAGGAATTTCATTTGGGGATCAACTTCTGAACGAAGGAAAGCTCACCTGGTTTCTTGGGAGACGGTCGGTTTGCCGAAGAATGTAGGGGGGCTTGGTTTTCGTAAAATTAAAGAGAATAATATGGCTTTTATCATGAAGCTAGGTCACCGAATCATGACTGATCATGATTCGTTATGGGTTCGGGTCCTTCGTAGCAAGTATAAGGTGGAGGAAAGGCTCATTCCAAGTATCTCGGCTTCCGCAAATGATTCTGGTTTATGGAAGGCTATTGTTAAGTATTGGCCTCAAACTCTAGAGAATTCTCTTATCATTTTAGGGGATGGGGTTCATACATCTTTTTGGATGGATTCGTGGGTGCCAGGATGTCCTCAACTTGTTTCTCTGGCCGTTCAACCTATTCTTCCTATTATGACTCATTGGTCTACGTCTCAATTTGTAACTTGTTATGGTAATTGGGACTGACCTTTATTTTAGCACCTTCTTCCTACTTCAGTATTAGACAAGATTCGTAGTGTGCTCCCTCCTACAATGGATCCTTCTCCGGACCGTGTTATTTGGGCAGGTAGCCAAGATGGGGTTTTTTCAGTGAAATCAGCTTATAACTATCTCATGGGTACCTCGCATTATCATCAGGATAGGATTTGGAAGGTAATTTGGGCTTGGCCTGGTCCTGAACGTATTAGACAATTCTTATGGCTTCTCTACAGAGGTTCTCTTTTAACTAATGTTCGTAGAGTGCATCGTCACATGGCTACAGATGCAGGGTGTCTGAGATGTCATTATAATCTCGAGGATAGTTTACATGCCATTAGAGATTGTCCTTGTGCCAGGGAATTATGGGAGCATTGGGTTCCTTCTGATAACCGTAGTGACTTTTTCTCCATGGATCTTCACCTATGGATTCAGACAAATCTAGGATTAAGAGGTCCGTTTCAAACTGATCGAACTTGGCCTTTGTATTTTGGGGTGATAGCTTGGTGTTTGTGGGGGGAAAGAAATAAGGCGATCTTTGATCAAACTAGTACCTCGAAGTATGGTCTCATTAGGCGCATTACCTATACTTGTGGTAATATTCAATTGGCTAATGAAACCCTTATTAAGATTGGTCATCAGGAGCTTAGAAGAGAGGAACGTCTTATTCACTGGAATTTTCCCTCTGAGGGTTATGTTAAACTTAATGTGGATGGTTCCAGCATAGACAGTGGGCAAAGGACTGCATGTGGTGGAGTCATAAGGGATGCTGCTGGGAACTGGTTAACTGGTTTTACAAAATTCCTTGGGAGTGGTACTTCTACTTCAGCAGAAATTTGGGGGTTCTTGACAGGTATGGAGCTGGCTTGGCATAAGGGATTTAAGAGAGTCTTTGTGGAGGGTGACTCCAAGGTGGCTTTGGAATTTATAAGAAAATGGTGTGACGTAAGTCATCCTCTTTCTGCTTTAATCATCCGAGCTCGTAGCATGCTTCAAAGAGACTGAAATATTCAGCTTAGTCATACTTATAGAGAAGGCAATTTTGTTGCTGATTGGCTTGCTACTCATGCACCTCATCAGGATGGACAGCTGATTGTGCTGAATGTCCCTCCAACGGCTTGTTTGGAATTGCTTCGTAATGACTTGAGGGGAGTTAGTCTCCCAAGATTGTGCCCAGTATATGACTTTTTTTTATGTTGCTTTAGTTTTCATTGTATTTCCAAAAAAAAAAAAAAAATCACGCATATATGCCATGTGAGGAGCAGAGGTAGACCTATGATATTGTGGACGGAAATAGTTGTTCCTGATCAAAAAAATTCAATCATGGTGTCCAAGCTGTTAGTACTGTCGCTTTTGGTATGAATTATGGTGCGACAGGTGGAAGATGGGAAAGAATAATAATGATTAAAAAATATCACAAAAGAAATTATCCTCTCTCTATAACAGAATCAGGAGGCCTAATACCATTTAGTTGTCGTTTTCTCAATATTGTTAATTCTATTTATTCACATTTGATAATTGTTAATTTTTTTTTATAGAATAATCAGATTCCCACATAATTTTTTTTGAATCTTTGTGAACCAAAATGCTATCCAAGGATATCACAAAGAAGGTAGTATTCTTGAATTTTCATAATTTGGTAAAATTTCACATAGTTTTTTCGTAACATATGGTGTAATATTTTGACTTACTAAATAATTTTTTCGTAACATTTATGAAAAATTTATTTTTCCAACATATTCCTGGCAATCAAAATTCCCCCCTGCCAAATGCCCCTTAAGGATAGCATCACACTTAGGGGTGTTAATAAGTCGAGTCGGGTTGAACTTTGGTCTTGAAAAGCTAAATTTTTATTTAAATGCATCAGATTGGCCTAGTTTGTAACATGTTATGATTATAATTATATGTCCATAGCCTGACTTATATACAAAAAATAAAAACTCGGCTTAACCTGCTAAATGAGGTTCATGTCACGCATCTTTTATATATGAGTTTTTTTTTCCTCCCAAATTCACAGGTACCGGTTATGATTTTGGCAAATTAAACTCATGAATTAATTATTAATTCACAATAAATGATAATCGTTGATAGACGAAAATCACGATGTTAAGATATGATTGTAAAATGTTGTAAAAAAAAAGTTGTAAGTATAACCTTACACTTACAAAAATATCAATTTATTTATAATTTATGGGGTTTGATTTTCTCATGTTAAATGAGAATTCAATTCTCATGTTGTAGAGATAAAAAGCATGTGGGACCCATGTGTTAGAAAGAATTATATGTATGACCCATGTCAGCACGGAAATCGAAGGGTGTGTAAGAAAATTTGAATTCTTTAAATGAGAATTATAAAACCCATAATTTATATACCTATATTTGTTATTTTTTTAGTATTATAATGTGAATTTTATACTGCTCAGAAGAGACAAAAAAAAAAAAAAAAAAAAGCATGTGCACAGAGCAGCGCTCCTGCTCTGCTAACGAATTTTTGTTTGTTGATTCTCCGTACCCGCAAATCGCAATGGAAAAGCAACGTTTAAAAAAAAAAAAGGGAAAAAAAGAAAGAAAATGAAAACCTTCAAGAAAAAGAAAAGAAAGAAATATCTTCTCCTATAAATCACCAACCCCCCTGCTCACACACCTCCCTCAATGGCAGCCGTTGAGGAGCTGCCGGAGACTCCTCTCATAGAGGAACTCCTTGTCAAGAGTGAACTTTGCCTCTTTGCGAAGGTCCATTTGCGCTTGGGGATTTAGTTAAAGTTCTCTCTATGACCATCATTTTCATGGTCGTTGTATCGTCCTCTGGTTTCAGGCCGAGTTTTACTGTCCAGTGTGTAAGGCGTGGTTTGTTCTAAATTATTTGCAGAAACCTCCCTTTCTAGTTCATTTATTGTTCTAAATTATCTTTCTGAGTTAGATTTATTGGTAAATCTGTTTGGGTTCGTGTCTGGTTTGTTAGCTAATTTCAATGATTGGTGAATTCACGGATGCCATTTATCTCCTTCATTTTGTTCCCAAAGAATAGATGCTACTATGAATTTACTTTATCTGCTCTGAATTTGTGAGAAGTTTTAGTATTGTGGAGTTAGAATAGCTAGATTACTGTCTTGGATTTTCTTTTCTGAAGTGCTCAAACTATTGAATGCTTGTATGTGAATATTGATCAAGTTCTGTGTTCCTGATTGATTAGGTGCATCATGTGGTTATGCTCCAACTGTTTGATGAAATGCCAATCTGCAACTGGATATCTAGAAGGTATGCATTTCATCTTATGCGAGTTGAGTTGTTGGTAATTGAGCCTAAAACTGATATGGTCTTGATCGATTATGTTTCCTTCCCTCTATGATATTTGTTTTAAAATCTATGAATGATCTGAGCTGCTTCTTTTCTTGCTATTGAAGTTTTTATTTTTGTTATTTTCATTTCAGAGTTCAAAGTAACAAAAGTCATTGTGAAATCCATCGAATTCCAATCTTGACCGATGATGCAGAATGTCCTTGGTGAGCAATCCCCTAAAGTCGAGTATCTGAGCTGACTCGTCATTTCACATTTCACCTACTTATCATCTCTCTTCCAAATCTGAAACTTGGGGTAAGCTTGGATTAAATTCCTAGAGCAAACTCGATCCAGCCATATTGGCTGCATACTTTCATGTTTTTATACTCATCTTTTCATTTCATGGTCTTATGTAATCTGCTTGTTACATAAGAATTCATATCTAAGAAGCTACTCATGCGATTGCAAACCTGCAAAGGCAGCTAGTTATTACAACTAATTGCTTCTCAGCACCTGGAAAATAATTTAGATCAAGATAAGCTGCCTAGTATAGAACTTTCGCTGGGACCCAGCGCATAGCAGAAGCTTTACAACACTAGGCTGCCCTTGTGAATTCTGATGCATGGTTAAGCTTTCTGTGATGAGCATTGAAATTTGAAATCTTGTTCGATAATTTCCATAATTTGGTTAACAAATTTTGATTTTATTAGTTATGAAGAAGACGGTGACATTGTTTTGACGTATGGTGCTGTTGATGCAGAGTGCATACGCCACCAGAGTGTTGCAAGGTTAGCAACTCAACGATTTGTTTCTTAATTAATTATGCAATTGAGGTTTCCAACTTTCCATCATTATAGTGTAGTATTACAATCCTGGTATTGAGATTCCACAGAACCTCTGCCTGATTCCAGGAGATATATCCTTTTAGAATTAGAATCATCATTCTTATTTCAGCTTTTAGCTCCAAAATGTTAAAATTGAGTTTTCTTGGTTCAAAGTCTTTTCCAAGTTTAGTGTTTCATTATTTTCTAGACTGATAACTGATAATAATCACTGCAGTCATGCATTTTTTGTGACATTCTTGATTTGTTAAAATACATTTGCATGTCATTGTTTGGAATCAGAGAAACTAGAAATCAGTGATGGATCTCATTAGATTTTTTCCTGATTTATCCCAAAATCTTAGATATTTTGACCTGTCAAACAATGCCCTGATTTAAAATCCCAAAGTTCTTGAACAGGTCAAATAATATTTTGGAATTTTAGTTATCAGCTACTCGCAAGGCTTGTAAGGAAAGTGCCTACTTTAGTTTACTTCTTTTGTGTTATCCATTGAGGTCAAACAATAGGAAAACCTTTGTTCCTTTAACTGAGAAACCAAGGACAAAGGACCACGTCCTAACCCAACCAAAACCGAAGCTTGCTCAAAACCATCACCTTCATTTTTTTCTCCACAACCAAAACCAATGTTCTTAGCCTTAGCTTTTCCCCCAAAAGTGAAGGTCTCAGTTGCCAAAACGCCTTGTGTCATTGAATAGTCACCATATGTATACATATATTGGCAACCATCACCGCAAGTTGAGGAAGGTAGCGCACTACACAAGTCGCTACTACATGAGAGCTTAGAAAAAGTAGAAGACTTTTTGGGATCAAAAATCGGTGTGGGTTGCTTGTAACATTGAGAACAAGGCATGCATTGTGTCCATATGAGATCACTGCCAGTGTCCAAAACTGCAGGGTAAGACTTTGGTGGAGTTCCAATGGATAACTCCATCAAATACTCACCATTCCCTGCATGGATTGGAGATTCTAATTGAGAATCTGGTGTTGATGCTGCCAACACCATTGCATTCAGCCTTTGTAGCCTGTTCTTCCTACGCTTGATCCCATGTTGGACACGCTCGAGCTTGGTTAAGTTTTTCCCTGAATCAACATGGTGAAGAGAGACTCGGAAACCAGTTGGGTGAGTGTGAGTGTGAGGAATTTTGGGGTGATCTAGAGCGAGTCTTGATGTTGAGGATGTTGGATCAACACAAAGAACAGCAACTAGTAGTGCCACCAATATGGCAGAAGAAGAAGAACTCTGCAATGTAGCCATGACCATGAGGTTACACAATAGGACTTAATGGAGATATGATGGAAATAAATATAAAGTGGGTTATTGAGTGAAGCACAAGGGTGATGGGAATTGTGGGAATATATATAAGGTGTCTTGCTAGAGAAATGATCTTAACTTCATTAATCACATAAGAAAGTAGAGTAGTGATCTTGTAACGTTCCCTACGAATATGGAGGAGAAGATAATGGGAATTCTCTTTTGAAGAAGACCAAAATGTGAGTTAATTTGGCTTTGTCATCTTTTTTTTTTTTTTACTTAAAAACAAAAAAATAAGGAAAAGAAGTTTGTTTTAGTGTAAACAGAAAGACGTCGTAGGTTTGATGATGAATGGAGGTTGAGATATCAGCGTGGTGTCGCAACTAGTACCGGGTCTTACGTTGTGGTTGGTAAAGATTTTATTTTCAAAACGGAGTTACATTATCTAAGCAACTGTTCTTTATGAGCAGAACAACTTTCAGAGGTTGAAGTGATCCATGAATTATCTGTTCTTTATGAGATTGCCTTAGCTCTTGACTTAACTATCTTGTGCCCTTTGTTGTTTTGTACAGGACACATGCTTGGAGCTGCAGCATCATGGCTTGTCCAAGTAGGCATTGATTTATATCGACTCTTTACTTCAATTTTCAAGGCTGAGCATGACGATAATGACTTTGATGAAACCAATCAAGTTGGACTTCTGGGACAAAGGATTTTCGTTGCTACAGTTAAATATAGATTCTCAACTTGCCTCCCTCTATCATTAATGATCCTGCTTCCACCGGTGCCGCCGCCGCCAGCTGTGCCCTTAGTCCCAGCACCATCGTGACTCAGCAAAGTCAATGTAGGTTCTTCAGGAAACCACGCCTTACACACTGGACAGTAAATCTCGGCTTGAAACCAGAGGTCGATGCAAGGACCATGAAAATGATGGTCACGGGGAAGAATTTTAACTAAATTCCTAAGAACAAATGGACCTCGGCAAAGAGGGCAAGGTTCACTCTTGACAAGGAGTTCCTCCGCGAGAGGAATCTCCGGCAGCTCCTCAATGGCTGCCATCTTATGCAAATAAGCTTCGCATTATTGAAACGTTTAATTCATTTTGGAGTTACTGTTCATTATAATAGGTATAAGTACAATCAATGTTTAAGTATTTTAATAAAGTTAACTATTTGAATTAGGTATAATATTATTATTCATTCATGCTTATCATGATTTGTAAATAATTACAATTTATATTTAAATTAATTTAACATTTAAAAAGTAAGAATTGTTAATATATTATTAGTCAAAGAAATAAGAGGCATTTTATCACTTTAATTAAATCAAATCAAATCATTTAAATGGAATTTGAACTTTTTGAAATAAAATAAATAAAAATAAGGTTATAACAGGTAGCTGTGAACTTTGGGAGGAAAAAAAAACTCATATATAAAAGACATGTGACATGAACCTCATTTACATGAACTACATATCTTATTAATAAGATAAAAGACAGGTTACTGTGCCTATTCACATGATATACACAAATTTTCGATCTAACAATGTTTTTTTTTTCTTCTTTTTCGGTCACAGTATAAAAAAGAAGAAGAAATATCAGCATGGAAAAATAAAATAATAAAGAAGGAAAAACGTTAAATTTAAAATTTGTGACACGATAATATTTTATTTGTAAGGCAATTTGTTCCTAAATCAAAAGCTAGCCTAATTAGGATGGATTTGCATGGTCATTCGTGGCCCCCACAACATTTCAAAATTCCAATGATGCATGGTTGATACTCTTCCAATCTTATTTTTTTTATAAAGGACATTTGGTAGAGATTTTGTTTTTTAATCTAGAAATCATGATTTATGGAAATATGATAGGAAGTTTTTTTTCTTGAGAATGTTATCAAAAAGTTATTTGGTAGGCCAAAATTTTGTCAAGAATATTGAGTGATTTTTCTAATACTACGTTTGGTTGATTATAAAATATTATTGTAAATATGAACTGAAATTTCAAAATTACCCCCATTCCTCATTTACCGCCTCTTTTTATCTCTCAAAGTTCATTTTCTCTCTCTCTCTCAAAATTATCTCAATTCGGCTTCATTTTCTTTGGTACTGTTCATTTCCTCTGAGCTTACGCTTTTTGGTTGCATTCATTTTCCCTCAACTTTCTCTATTAATCTCATCTCCGCCATGGCCTAAAGCACAAGAGTAGCCCATTCTGCATGCATATACCTGGACCATCAATCACATAACCATTGGAGCAAAGCAAGTGTAACAAATCCAAACCAAGTATAACAATCCAAACCAAGTATAACAAATAAAGTTGAAAATGGGGATCTTGTCGAATGAAACTCAGAAACCCATTTTAATCAAGTGCGACATCTCCATGCTCATCCTCTGCGATTTGTTGGTGAACCAAATATAGCAAAGCAAGCTTCGACATTGTTTCGCAGAAAACAAGCTTTCGCATTAAATACGAGAAATCATAACTATATAAAAATGAAAATAAATATAACCGTTGGATTAACATAATCGATTTAACGGTAAAAGTGATTGATAATAATATTACTAGCAACACTAATTAGTTGTTAGTTGTTACAATATCCTGTCCCTAGTAGCAAAGGCATAGAACAACACATGGAAGGACAATAGTATTTTGGACGAAAATGTAATAGAATGTTACCCTTTGTTTATTGGGATTTTGAACAATTTGAAATTTTACTGTTATTTTGTGTTGACGCGTAGTGACTGGGAAATGGATCCTCTCAGGTAAAAAAAAACATGATATGGTCATGTGGGAAGATCACACTCATACAAAGGTAAATCAAGATTTCGTAACAACCTATTTTAACATTTTTTTCTCTCTCCACCTCTGTATGGTTACGATTTCTCATATGACATGGTCATGTGAATTTTCACATGAAAAGATCCAGATCCTAGTGAGTGTGAGTTCGTCCAAGGGTGATGTGTGAGTTCGTCCAAGGGTGATTAACAACTAACCTTAACCCCTTTATCGATCAGGGTTTTCTTCTTCTTCTTTATTTATTTATTTTTTATATTCGAAATTAGCGGCAACAAGCGTTCCATGAACTCTCCCATTTTCTGCTTAATCTCAACAATCTCTCCAATGGCCGCATCCGAGATTAACTGGGACCAGTATGCTTGCATTTTATTCTTCTTTTGCAATTTCTCGAGTTCCTTCGTTCATTTCATTTTCACCGTTTTTCATTTCTGATTTAGGTTTTCTTTTTCTTAATAAATTTTCTTTTAATGCCATTGGTGTGTAACCGTTTTATAGATTGCTATTGCCGTAATTTTAGTTTCTTGAGCTATTAGATCAGCATAAACACATAGTTTGCTAAAGCGCAAAAATTGTTGTCTTCGGTTTCGGCTTGAGAAGTATTGGACTTTAAATTGTACTAAAAAAAATAGAGCAATGGAATTTAATGTTTAGAATTAGATAACCTCGGGCTTAGCCATTCAGTGTAAAATGAGAAACAATTTATTAACATATAATTTTCGTGCAAAACATTAGTATTGGACTTAATTACAGCAAAATTTCTTTAAGGAATACATAATTATGATATTTAAATTATTTTTTTTAAAAAACTTATAGACCGATATGAAGAGAAAAAAAAAGTAATTTTAGTATTATAATTATGGGGAAGATATACTTACCACACAAAAATTTATCACATTTACAACTAATCTAATTATAGTTGATTTCTGTTAATCTAACGATTATAATTTATTGGAAATTATTGGATCGTATTTATTAATTAATTATTAATTCTCAATAATTAATAACTATTAAATTGTCAGAAATCAACTGTGATTAGATTGATTGTACAAGTGGTACATTTTTTTTTTGTGGTAACTATATCCTGCCCCTATAATTATAGACTCCTCAAAGTATATTTTATAACACCATCACAAGCATATGTATTTAAGATTTACTCCAATTACAGAATGAGGAAACGTAACGCCATTTAAGGAAGAGTATCTCACTTCTGATAAAATAAAATAAAATGAAATAAAATGGAGTTTACCGAAAAAAAAGTAAAAAAGTAAAATGGAAGATCATCACCCATGCATTAAAAGTTGTGGGGGCTATGAATGATCATGTAGATTCATCCTAGTTAGGTTCATTTTTTTGGATACAAAAGAAATCAAAGCAAACTACCTACGAGTCATCCTTGAGAAAGAGACCCCCATACAATCTGAAGCAATCAGATTACGACAATGTTGAGGAGGGTGCTCAAATAGATGAGTATCCCAACCAAGAGGGGACACATTCGCAGCAAGCCAATCTGCCACATAATTGCCTTCTCTATGAATATGCAATTGGACAACAATCCAAGGTCTATTAATAATTCCTTTAATTCTCTGAACCAGAGGAGAAAAAGGCTTGTTCACACCCAAAGGCAATCAATCTAATCACCACCCCAGAATCCATCTCCAGCCAAATATTCTTGAAGCCTTTGTTCCAAGCCAACTCTAAACCAATGATGCCCCTCCATAATTTCGCAAGCAACGAATTACCTGTGCCTAGGTATTTTGAAAAACCAAGAATCCAGTTACCCCCACTATGCCTCAGAACACCACCACAAGTCATTTTCGAACTGCTAGAATGACAAGCTCTATTAGTATTGACCTTCACCCACCCATCCTTAGGGAAATGCCACCTGACCAGAGCTTCATGTTTCATTGGGGGAATAAGCCTAGTCTTTCTCAACAACGCCTCAGCTTGGGCTAAGGATAGCAAGAACGCCCAAACCTTATGGGCCACAGTTTTGGCTGAGGACCGAAAATTATCGAAAACAAGTTTATTATTCGCCTGCCACATTGACCAGCAAGCTACACCAAAGTGAGTGCAACTATCTTGGTCTCTAGCCCCTAGATCAAGGTGCAACCAAGTCTGAAAGTTCTCATTCCTGCCTTGTCGAAAGTCCACCGGTTTACCAAGCCTAGTCCAAATCTCCCTAGCCTAGGGGCAATTCCTGAAAATGTGA